CACTCTCAGCAAAGTTTTTGTGGGGCAGGCAGCCAAGGGAACAAAAGCAAGTACTTATCATGCAACTGGGGCAAAATAAATCAGTGGGAGGGGAAGGAGGGAGAATGCTGTTTTAGAAAGAAAGGCCAGGGAAGGCCTCGCTGGGAAAGTGGCATTGGAGCTAAGGCCTAAAGGAGGTGAGAAAGGGAGCCATGGGGATGGCTGAGGAAAAGGCAGGAGGGAATAGACCGTGTGAAGGCCATGAGGCAGGGATACATCTGACGTGTGAGCGTCAGTAAGGATGGCCGTGTGGCTGGAGTGAGGGGGAGAGTGGGAGGAGGTGAAGGCAGGGAGGTAATGGGCCGAGGGTGCATGGGCCACAGGGAGGATTTTGAACAGAGGAGGGAGGTGCCCTGACTAGGTGCTCACAGGCACCCCCTGGCCGATGTGGTGGGAGGAACACACTGGGTTGGGGGTGGGGGGAAGGGGGAGAGGTGGAAGCTGAGAGAAGGAACTGTGCTAGTCCAGGCCAGAGGCGATGATGGCTGGACCAGGTGGGGACTGAGGAGTGGAGAGAAGCAGGCAGGTTCTGGTTGGAGCAGGTTTTGGAGCAGGATTTTGGGGTCCCATTTGACATGTTTGCCTCTGAGGCTTATCCAAGTGGAGTTGTCCAGGAGACTGTCAAATGCTTGGGTCTTGGGCCAGCAATGAGTTCTGAGCCGGGGCTTGATACTGGGGAGGGGGGGGGGGGGGGGGCCTTCCTTCAGGTTAAGAACTTGGGAGAGCCGAAACCGGTTTGGTTCAGTGGATAGAGCGTCAGCCTGCGGACTGAAAGGTCCTGGGTTCGATTCCGGTCAAGGACATGTACCTTGGTTGCGGGCGCATCCCCAGTAGGGGGTGTGCAAGAGGCAGCTGATTGATGATTCTCTCTCATCGATGTTTCTAACTCTCTATCCCTCTCTCTTCCTCTCTCTACAAAAATCAATAAAACATGTTAAAAAAGAAAAAAAGAACTTGGGAGAGCATGAGAAGGTCTTGAGTGAGAATTGTAGGAGAGAGTCCTGAGGCCCGTAAGAATTTATGGCCAAAACAAGAGGGGCCTTCATTCTGGAGAATTCCCAGTTTGGGAAGGCCATGCAACAGCAGCAGTTTTGAGGAGGGACTTCAGGAACCTCACTTGCCCGTGATGGGTGGGGTCAGAGCCCCCATCCTAGCCCAGCACTTGGCCTTCTCCCGGCCTCCAGCATTTCCTGGCCTGAGGCCAGTTTCTGGTCCCTGAAACATGTTGCCTGCTGGGTAGAAGGCTGGACGGGCAGGGAGGTAAGCCGCTTCTGGGACTAACCCATTGACAAATGAAGGGTTGGTGGATCAATGCCCAGCTGCCTCCTCCGGCGCGTGCTCTCTGCTGCCCCCCAGAGGTCACCAGCGGGAGTGAACCTCCGTGACCCACGTGGGGAACTTGTTTTCAGACACACAGTTTTACTAGCTGCTTTTCTTTCCCTATTTCTCTTCCCCACTGGCCCTCTGGGAGTTTTCTGGGGTTACTTCCCAGATAAATGACTGATACTCGGATCTTGTTCTCCGCGTGTCCTTCTGGCGACCCACATGAAGGAAACGTGGGGGAGGAGGGTCAGGATTTTGCTCCCTCAATTCAAACTGGGCTTTGCTTCCTCCCCGCTTTCCCACAGAGAATTTCGAAAAAGGGGTCCCCTACCGGGTCACAGTGACAGCGGTCTCTCCTGGGGGCTTGCACCCTGCCCCCTCGGTCTGGGCGTTCAGAGAGGAACTGGGTAAGCAACGGGGCTGGCAGATGGAGGGGCCTGGAACCCTGGCAAACCTTGACCCGCTGGCTTTGTCCCCAGCACCGTTAGTGGGACCAGCGCTCCGGAGACTCCAGGATGCTCCCCCAGGGACCCCCGCCTTAGCGTGGGCAGAGGTGCCGAGGCACCAACTCCGGGGCCATCTCACCCACTACACCTTGTGCGCGCGGAGTGGGACCAGGCCTTCCGTCTGCACGAATGGTGAGTGTTCCTGCCTCCCGCCCCTGTTCCCAGACCCCCCACCCATCAGTTTACACACACACACACACACACACACACACACACACACCCCCGTCCTCAGAGGGGCCCCTCTGGCTCCCGCTCAGTCCCGGGGAGAACACATGACGTCATCTGTTCCCTAGCGGACAATCACCCTCGTGGCTCTCAAAGTAATGGGCTGCCACTTGGCCATTAAAAGTAATGACTCCGATCTATATTTATTGGCATTGAAAGATGCCTGTCCTATTTTATTAAGTGAAAAAGATAAAAAGGATTCAAAACTCTGGGATGGTTCCATGTTTGTAAAATAAACCAGCGTGGAGCAAAGCTGAGGCAGAAATGTGAAGATACCTTTCCCTCAGTGTCGACAGGATTGTAGGATTACATATGATTTTTATTTCTTTTTCATGCTTTTGGGTATAGGTTGAGTTTTTACTCTGGACACAAATTCCTTCTTAAAAAATATATTACCCTTTTTTTTCCAATTACAAAAACTGTCTGTGCTTGTTACAAAAGCTGACACACAGCATCAAGAATTCATCATTTTCATCATTTCACTGATAGGACAACACAGTTTCCAGGTTTTCTCATGTGTATGTTAACACCCATAGGAGTGCTTTGAAGATTTTTAACATTTTATTATAGAAAATTTCAAGCACATACAAAAGTAGGGCCTGGCCGGCATGTCTCAGTAGTTGAGCGTTGACCTATGAACCAGGAGGTCACAGGTTGGATGCCTGGTCAGGTTGTGGGTTCAATCCCCTGTAGGGGGCATGCAGGAGGCAGCCAATCCATGGTTCTCTTTTATCATAGATGTTTCTATCTCTCCCTCTCCCTTCCTCTCTAAAAATCAATTAAAAAATATTAAAAAGAGAAAAGTAGGGAGAAGATAACCACCCAGCTTCAGTAATTACCTCCATTTTGCTAATCTTGTTTCAATTTACCCCCCCACACACACACACACACTTTTTTCCTAGAGTCTTTGATATCATTTCACCCCTAAACACATTAGTACTTCACATTTGTTCCTAATTGATAATGCCCCATTTTTTATCATAATTACTTTGCCATGATTATATCTTGCAAATATATATATAACCCTCTCTGGGTTTGTCCTTCAGTGAGTGGCAGCACCCAGAAGACCACCCTGCCCCACCTTCCCTCGGGCCCCTGTGAGCTGTGGATGATGGTGTCCACCATCGCAGGACAGGGCCCCCCCGGTCCCAGCCTCCGGCTTCACCTACCAGGTAGGGGCTGGGGTGGCTCTGCTGTAGTAGGCGGGGTGTGGGGGGGCTGCTTCATTTGAAGGGGATATGGAATGATTCTCTGGGCTTTCATGACTGGGCAACCTTTTGACTTAGGGCGGGGGCGGGAGGGTCGCTATGGATCATGCATTTCGATTCTGCTAAATACTGCTGTGGGTTATCAGGCAATGTGTGTCTCTAACCACTTCACCCACCCCTCACCTTGACCTCTGACCAAGTATTGCTCTGTTCACAAGCCCACTCCCACCCCAAGGTTTTCCTCGCCCCTTGCCCCTGCTCGTTTTCTGCCTCCCTCACGCCAGCCTGCACATCCATGAGCCTTCACCGACCTCTCCCTGCTCCTGGTGTCTAGTGTCCTTCTTCCCCTCCCCCGCAGATAACACCCTAAAGTTGGAAATCCTGCTAGGCGTCCTCCTGTGTGGCTTGCTCCTGATAGGCTGTGGCGTGAGCCTGGCCGTCTCCGGAAGGTGAGGCATCAGGCGTGTGGGTCTCCGCCCGGTGGGAAGGGCAGCTGGGGCAGTAGCTGGACCTCCAGGGTGAGGGGACACCCCACATCCCTAGACCCTGCAACCCGGGCATGGGTATTCTCCGGATCCCCCTCCCTGACGCTTCCCTGCTTACCAGGTGCCTCCACCTGTGGCACAAGATACTGCCCCGCTGGGTGTGGGAGGACATCCCCGATCCCGCCAATAGCCATTTCAGCCAGCCCCGCGTAGAGGTGAGCAAACAAGACTGGCTTGTCAGGAACCCCCCCATCCAGGAGGTAGGGGGTGGGGTGGGGGACAGTGGGGTGGGGGTGGGAGCATTGAGCAGAAAAGGGGGCTCGTCATCTCAGCCTCCTCTCTTCCCAGGATGTACCCCAGGCCCCACCCCCTGGAGACTTGCCCACCGTGGAAGTGGAAGAGATGGAGCCGTTACCGGTAATAGAGCCCCCCCAGACTTCCTCCCGGATGGACTCTGGGTATGAGAAGCACTTCCTGCCCACACCTGAGGAGCTGGGCCTCCTGGACTCACGGCGCCCAGGCCCCAGGCTCTGGCCTGAACTGACCCCGGGCCGGGAGACAGGGTGCTCATGTGACAGCTGAAGACGCGGAGGCCCAGAGAGGCTGAGCCGCCCACCTACGGATACCCAGGCAGGCAGAAGGAGCTGAGGGAGACTGAAGGACTCCTACGGAGAAGGCCTGGCCCTGGAGGGACTGTGCGGGTGGCTGAGGGAGCAGAGGAGGATACACGAAATCCAGAGTGGCAGGCACCTCCCCAGATCTGTCCTGCTGCTGTAACGGAACTGTAGCCAAGGGCACTCCCAGCCTCCCTGGCTGCTAGGTGTGGCCCTGCGCGGAATTCTCGCCAATGGAATGTGAGCAGAAATGACTTGTGGCAAAGCTGGGGCTCGATGGAGCGCCTCCATATTCTCTTTCCTTTTCCCTGAGTTGGAAAAACATCAGCACGCCCATCATTTAGCTCCAGCCAGACCCAAGAGAAAGGGGAGGGCGAGAAAATGAAAGGAACTTGAGTCCCCAAGTGACTTCATGGATCGGAAATAAACGTACTTTTTTTTTATAGTTACTGTTACTTGAGGTCTTTTGTCGCAGCAGCTGCACCTACACATTCACTGACTCGCAATCATTCGATTCCAGCCAAATGAAGCCCTCCGTTTCCCACCAGGAGATGGTAAGGTGGTTCTGTGCCAAAAGAAACACACGCATTCGAGCTGTCCCAATGCTTTAATATTTTATTTTCAAGTATAAAGGTTTAGTCGGAGAAGGGAGCCAGGGTCACAGGCAGTGGGCAAGGGGTCCAGAAGCCCAGGTGGAGGTGGAGGTGTGGGCCAGCAGGCTCCCAGATGCCATGGCCAGTCCCATATGCCCTGTCTGTGCCTGGGAACCCTCTGCTGGATGCCCAGAGGCCGAGGTAGCTGTGAGAAGAGCGAGGCGTGGGGTGGGGGGCGTGGACTCACATCACCGCACAACACTGGCACGTCTTTTGCTTAGGGCCGCTTGCCTCTTCACCCTCAGGGGGAGCCGAGGGCTCGGGCTGCTGGGCAGGTGCATAGGTGGGCACGGGGTGGGCACGGGGGTTGGCCTTGGGCTCCTCCACCGGAAGCAGTGGCTGGCACTCGGCGGGCTGCTCAGGAGCTGGGGTCTCTGCCAGGAGGGGCGTGGCATCCCCTGAGGGGTCCTGGCCCTCGGCGGCGGGGGTTTGAGGCTTCCCTGCTTCCTCCTCCTCCGGCAAGCCTTCCTGCTTCTCCTGGGACGGCTGCGGCCCTTCCTCCTCCGGCCTGAGCTCTTCCTGGGCCCCCGGGGAAGCCCCTGCCTCACTCACCTTCTCTGCCTGACACTCTTCCCCAGTTCCAGACTCTCTCTGAGCTTCTGGACTCACGTCTTCCTTGACCTTTTGGCTCTTCTCTGCCTCCAATGGCCCCTCACCCCCCGTTCTCTCTGCCTCCAATGGCCCCTCACCCCCCGTTCTCTCTGCCGCCAATGGCCCCTCACCCCCCGTTCTCTCTGCCTCCAATGGCCCCTCACTCCCCGTTCTCTCTGCCTCCAATGGCCCCTCATCCCCCGTTCTCTCTGCCGTCAATGGCCCCTCACCCCCCGTTCTCTCTGCCTCCAATGGCCCCTCACCTCCTATCCTCTCTGCCTTCGGTGATTCCTCTTCTTTTTCCTCTTCATCCCGTGGCTCCTCATCTCCTGTTCTCTCTGCTGTTAGTGATCCCTCACCCTCCTTCCTCTCTGTCGTCAGCGGTTCCTCCGTCGCCTCCAGCTTTTCTTCATCTCCTTTCTTCTCTACGACCCCCTTCTCCTCCTCGACCCCCTTCTCCTCCGCCCGGAGCTTTCCCTCTGCTCTTTCCTCCTCGGGCCTCAACGACCCCTCCACTGCCTTGCTTTCTACTCCCACTGGCCCCTCAGCGTCCTTCTCTGCCTCCAGCTTCTCCTCGCCTCCACGCTGCTCTGCTCCCAGTGGTTCCTCGCCTCCCTCCGTCTCTGCCCTCCACGCTCCCTTCGTTCCCTCGCTTTCTGCTGGCAAAGCGTCCTCGCCGCTGTCCCTCCCCGCCTCCGCCTTCCCCTCCCCTCTCCTCCTCTCTGGCTTCACGGGTTCCTCCCGTCCCTTCTTCTCCGCCGCCAGCGACGTGTCTATTCCTTCCCACGCTGCCCCTGACTGTTCCTCACCTCCTTTCTTCCATGTGCCCAGCGATTCCTCGGCCCGTCTCCTCTCCGTTTCCCAGGTTTCCTCGCCTCCCAGCCTCCCCACCCCCGGAGGACTCTCACCTCCCCGCTCCTTCCCTAGTGTCCTCGGCCCTTCCACCCCTTCCACCATGAGTTCCTCCCACTCCTCGCTGAGGGTCACCCTCTCCACCCAGATAAAGGACCCCTCCTCTCCCCCAGGGCCCCCATGCCGGAAGCCATCAGGGCTGCCCCTGGGGGGGCCTTCCCCTGTTCCAGAAGCTTCTCCCTCTCGTTCCTCCTGCAGCCTCGGGGAGCTGGTCTGCGCCTGCGGTGGGCCCCTGCCAGCCTCCCCTGAAGCCTCAGAGTCGCTGCCCTCTGTGCCTCCCACCCCTTCCCAGACCACCTCCACCACTCCCCTGTCCTCCCTCACCCAGGACGGGAGCTCAGGGCGGCTGGCTTCCAGCCTGTCCCCGATGGCCTCCAGCACCATCTCCTCTACCTTCGCCTCCAGCTCTGGGCCCGTGGCCCCCCTGGCACAGTCCTCTGTAGGCCTCAGCCCTTCCCACACCACCTTTACCACACCCCCTCCTTTGGCCTCGCCCACCCCCCCATACGCTGCTGTCACCCCCTGATTGTGCTCCTGCTCCAGAGGGGGGCTGGGTCTGGGGCAGGGGCCATTGGCTTCTGAGGAGACCCCTGCTGCCCCAGGGACCTGCCTCAGGGCTGGCAGAACCCCAAAGGCCTCATCTCTGGGCTCGGCCAGGGACTCCAGGGATGTGCCCGCTGGCTCTGCTGGCCAAGAGGCTCTCTTGTTCAGATCAGTCTGACCTGGGGAAGACAGGAGAGAGGGAAGGTGACAGGGTGAGATTCAGGCCATCCAGGTGCAGGTCCCTCCTCTTGGGACCCCCAGACATAGGGGCAAAAATACCCACCTTCAGTCCCTGCCTCCGCAGTGGGCTGGGAGAGTGGACGGTGACCCTGCAGGGGTAACAGAGACAAGGTCAGGCATCCATGTCTTCACATCTGGCCTCCTGCATGCCAGTACCCCTTCCCTGCTCAAACCCCCTCAATGGCTCCCCATTACCTTCAGTACCAAACGGTCTGCTACATCTCAGCCTTCCTCACCCATCTTACTGCCCTCTGCTCCATCCAGTGCCTTGTACACAGGAGGTGCTTAATACTGTGGCAGGCGGCTAGTTTTCTATATTAGGCATCTACTGTATTGACAGCTACTGAGACTGCCACAAGAGACACTTAAGCCGTTTGCTATTAGAACGTTCAGTCCGAACACGTTTGGAGGGCAGAGCTCCGTGCTGGGACACGGGAGGGCTGAGTCCCTGCCGGAATCTGCCCCTCACTTGCCATGTGACCGTGGAAGAGGCCCGGTCACCTCTGGGCCTCTGTTTTCCTATCTGTAACGTAAGGAAACAAGAGATGATGGGCCCTTGGATGACCTTTCCTTTGGTTTCCAAGGCACCTGAGGGAGCCAGTCACCTTCCCGAGGCTGAGGCTGCTGGTAGGGGTTGGCCCCAGGTCTGGTGACAAATCTCCAGCTGCCCACATGGCCCTGCCCCAGCATGCCTGTTCCTTCACTGTGTGGCCCAGAGCAGTCTGGTTCGCCAGTGATGTCACTGTTCAGGAGACAGTGACTTCAGGAGGCAAGAACAAAACAAACAAACAAAAACCAGCCGAAACCGGTTTGGCTCAGTGGATAGAGCACATGTGTCAAACACAAGGCCCGCGGGCCAAATCCGTCCCGCCAGGCCTTGCAATGTGGCCCGCACCGCGCTGTCATCACTGCACTCCGCTGCGTTTCCATCACAATGACAGTTTATGACTGTTCAGTAAACCATTCGGCCCGCGATTTAGGCTGGATTTTAGATTTTGGCCCCTTCTCTGATTGAGTTCGACACCCCTAGGATAGAGTGTCAGCCTGCAGACTGAAAGGTCCCAGGTTTGATTCTGGTCAAGGGCATGTACCTTGATTGCGGGCACAACCCCGGTAGGAGGTGTGCAGGAGGCAGCTGATTGATGTTTCTCTCTCATCGATGTTTCTAACTCTCTTCCTCTCTGTAAAAAATCAATAAAATATATTTAAAAAACACACACACAAAAAAAACACATTCCAGCCCGACCAGTGTAACTGAGCGGTTGAGCATCAACCTAGGAAACAGGAGGTCAGCGTTCGGATTCCCGGTCAGGGCACAGGCCTGGGTTGTAGGCTGGCTCCCTAGTGGAGGCATGCATAAGGCAGCCAATCAATGATTCTCTCTCATCGTTGATGTTTCTATCTCTATTTCCCTCTCCCTTCCTCTCTGAAATCAATAAAAATGCATTCCCATAGGAGTAGGCAGGCCATCAATACAAATAAATAAACATAATGCCAGTGAGTGAGGACTTCGGCAGGAAAAAGAGAAGCAGGATGAGAGGCTAAGGAGTGCCTGGGAGGTGATGGAGTGCCTCCTTTCTGTAGGTATAAGATGCAGGAGGGCTTCTGGGAAGACATGACATTAAACAGAGACTTGGAAGATGAGAAGAGCCAGCCTTGAGACAAGAGGTGGGGAAGGGCGTTCCAGGCAGAGGGAACAGCAAACGCAAAGGCCCTGTGCTGCAATAAGCTAGGCGAGTTCCAGGAACAGGAAAGAGGGTCAGCATGGCTGGACTGGGGTGAAGAAGGGAGAGAGAGGAAGAGGGGCTCAGGGAGGGGAGCTGGGGACAGCCGTGCAGAGAGCCGAGGCCAAGCTCCGTGGATCTCCTCACAGTCCTCTGATCCTACTTTTTCTCCAGCCTCCATGCTTTTACAGAGTCCATCCTCCGCTGGAATTCCCTCTCCCCTCCTGCCTGGCCCTCACCCAGATTCAGCATAAATGGAATTGCCTCCAGGAAGCCTTCCCTGATTCCTCAGCCTCACGAAGGTGCTTCCTCTGAGCTGCTTCATACCCAGGGCTCCCCTCTCACAGACTCTTTGTACCCAGGTTCTCATCTGGACTGTGAGCTCCCTTGAGCCAGGAAGCATACCTTTATACCTTTTGCATCTCTGGCAAGGAAGTTCTGGCTTATTTGTCTATCTATATCTATATCTATATCATCTATATCCTATCTAATAAAGAGTGAATATGCAAATTGACCATCACTCACAAAAGATGGCTGCACCCACAGCTGAGGCCAAGTTCCCATAAGGAGCCTTAACGCGCAATCAGCAGGGACCTGAGGCTACACCCTCCCCTGCCCCCTGCCCCCGTAGGGCTTGATGGGGACCTCAAGGTGCCCTTCCCGTCCTGGTGCTGGGCTAGGGGACCTCAGGCTGCTCCCCCCGCCCCAGCGCCAGGCTGGGGGGCCTCAGGCTGTGCCCCCCACCAGGTAGGGCTTGATAGGGGACCTCAGACCACGCCCTCCCCACCCCAGCGCTGAGCCAGGGGACCTGAGGCTGCACTCCCCTGCCTCACTGGGCTTGACGGGGGACCTCAGGCCATGCCCCCCACCCAGCAAGCTTGATGGGGGACCTCAAGGTGCATCACAAGTGCTAGGTTGGAGGAACTCAGGCTGACCCCCTGACCAACAGGGCTTGACTGGGGGCCTGAGGCCGTGCCCCCTCCTGGTGGGGCTTTATGGAGGACCTCAAGGCATGCCCTCTGCCCCGCTCTGGGCTGGGGGACCTCAGGCCATGCCCCTCAAACCTGGTGCCAGGCCAGGGGACCTGGCTATGCCCCCTACTCAGCAGGGCTTGACAAGGGTGGGACTAACCGGGTCTGGACCTAGCCCAGTGGAGGGGGGGCGGGGGCTGGCCGGATCTGGGTCTCATACAATTTTGAGGTGCATGTGGATGGGCAGGACTTGACTCTGGGTCCCATGGTGTGCCCCAGACTCTGACAGGAAGAAGGTTTTCATATACATTTTACTAATTTTTTTTCATCTTTGACACTTCTATTATAGAGAAAGGGCAAAGAGCAATATTAAATTATTTCCTCGAATTAATCCCCTTTTAATGTGCACGAATTTTGTGCACCGGGTCACTAGTGTGTGTGTGTGTGTGTGTGTGTGTGTGTGTGTATATATATATATATATTGTATATGCCTAAGCAACCAGAATGACTGGAACAACAGGTTGCTATGACACACACTGACCACCAGGCAGAAAATGCTCAACGCAGGAGCTGCCCCATGGTGGTCAGTGCACTCCCACAGCCAACCTTTCCTGGCTGGCCAGCCTCCTGCAGTTCCTCCCCCCACCCCAGGCCAGCCAACCTCCTATGGTTCCTCCTCAAGGACCCCTTCCTAGGGGGGCCAAGGGCCAGCTCCCTCCTCAGGGCCAGTGGCCAACCTCTCATGCCCCATCCTTCCTTCTAGCTGGCAGGCGCCAATCTGCCCACTGCCCGCCTGCCATGGTGGTGGTGTGGCACCAAAGGAAGGAGGAAGGGGGGAGGTGGGAAACCCTGAAGTGGCAGGGTGCCGAGACGGCAGTGGCAGTGTCCAGTGCCCATTCCTTCCGTGCCTGGCCTGGCAACTGTCGCTCCTCTCTGGCCCTGCCCTGATTCCCCTGGCCCTGATCGGCCCCGATCGCCGGCCATGGCTAGAGACGAATTTCATGCACTGGGCCTCTAGAGCACATGTGTCAAACACAAGGCCCGCGGGCCAAATCAGTCCCGCCAGGCCTTGCAATGTGGCCCGCACCACGCTGTCATCACTGCACTCCGCTGCGTTTCCATCACAATGACAGTTTATGACTGTTCAGTAAACCATTTGGCCCGCAATTTAGGCTGGATTTTAGATTTTGGCCCCTTCTCTGATTGAGTTCGACACCCCTACTCTAGAGTGAGAGTGTGTGTGTGTGTGTGTGTGTGTGTGTGTGTGTGTATCCACACACAAAAATCTAACAAGTGCTGCCGAAACCGGTTTGGTTCAATGGATAGAGCATCGGCCTGCGGACTGAAGGGTCCCGGGTTCGATTCCAGTCAGAGGCATGTATCTTGGTTGAGGGTACATTCCCAGTGGGGGGTGTGCAGGAGACAGCTGATCAATGTTTCTCTCTCATCGATGTTTCTAACTATCTATCCCTCTCCCTTCCTCTCTGTAAAAAATCAATAAAATATATTTTTAAAAATCTAACAAGTGCTTCCCATGCTGATTAACAGATGTTCACCTCTGTTTTAGGACAGGCCCTTGGGGGCTAAGGGAAGACATGAGGGCGAGGTGGAGACTGTGGAAAGCCCGCACCTCACTGTGGCCAGGCACTAATGACCCTCAGGACCTTGGACTTCAGGATAACCCCGGCCGCCAGATGTTACTGTGAAGTATCCTGTGCTTTCAAATCCTATCTGAATAAAGGCATTACCAAAATGAAAACAAAACAAAAACAAAAAAAATCCACACCTGAGCAGATGCCTCAAATCCTACGCGCGTCTCCTGGTGACCTGTTCCCACCTCTGGGACTGGATCCATGAGCCCTCCTCCCCATGGTCTGCCCTCCCCACTCATTCGGACCATAACGGAAACTAGACACCAACACATCCTGTGGCGCCTGCTCCCAGGGCTCAGCCGAGATCCTGTGGACCCTCCCTCACCCCTCTCCCAGTGTGGGCTGACATCCTCCTTTCAGAGGCAGGGACAAGGAGGCATGGATAAGGCTCGCCCAAGAACAAAGAAGTAGAGGACCAAGCAACCAGACGGTACTCACAGAGCCCTGTGGCCACACCCCCGCCCCGGCCACTTGCTCTTCCTCACCTGCCTGCGCCAGGTGGGCCGGCCGGAGGCCTTGTGCTGGGCACCTGTGGATGCACTCTGCAACAGCTGCAGCTGGGACTGGAGTCTGGAAGAAAGGGGGCTGCTGGGAGCCGAGTCCCCGGGGTTCAATGGGTCCCTCCCACCCCAGTCTCAATTTGCCACCTCCTGGCAGCGGACCCAGGGTCCGGGCCCGGCCAGTCTGGGGCCAAGGCGGCAGGCAGGGGCCCCACTCACGTGAACAAGCTGTCCTCCAGGTTCCGGATGCGGTCCTGCGCTTGGCCCTCAGGGGTCTCGGGGTCCTGCAAGGCAGCTTCCTCCGGTCCCTCGGGTCCCTCAGCCCCGTCCATGAGCCACCGCTCCCGAAGAGACTTCCTCTGGGCAGGGAAAGAGGCTCCAGCCCGCCATAGGGTCCTCCCCGCCCTCCCCCCCACCAGGCTGGACAGATGTCTCACAGCCCCACAATGACTCAGGCGGGACAGACATTTCTCCTCAGGCTGGATACATGCCCTGATTGCCCCCCTCCCAACACTACTAGTGGGTGAGACACCCCATTACCAGCCCACAGCTTGCCCAGGCTGGAAAAAGGCCCCATCACCCTCCCGGACTCTTCCAGAATGGGACAGACATCCCAAAGGTGAAATCAGAGTCTCTCCTGGCTCCTCCCTACCGCCAAGCTGGACGTTTTCACTGTCCCCACACTCTTCCCAAAGGGGGCACGCATGTCCCCACCACCACCACCCCCTGTTCTCACCCACAGGAGCAGACAGCCGCCCCCAGAGCGAGGACCTGTGCCCCTGACTGCACCCCCAGAATTAGAGGCTCCTAGGGTCCCGAGCACCGAATCCTATAGTCGCAGGCACCCCCCCCACACACACACACACACACACGCCTCCGGGCCCAGGCCGGGAGGCGCCCCCGCTCCCCACCCACCAACCTTGAGCCGCTCCACGCGGAGCTTCTCCTCCTCCAGCTCCCCGCGCGCCGCGCGGATCTGCTCCTGCAGCCGCCGCTTCTCCTGCGCGCAGAGGACGGAGCTGCCCGCCGGCCAGGGACCCTCCGCCCCGTGGCCCTCCCTCCTCCGCGGGGCTCGGCGGGGCTCCCGGGGCGGCGGGCGGCCGTCGGGCCGGCGGGCACGGGGTGCGAGGCGCTGACTCAGCAGCGGGGCGGGCGGGGCGGGGGCGGGGCCTGCCGCGCCCGGATTCTGCGGAGCCTCCGGGAATGGGGTCCGCTATCGGGGGCGGGGCGGGGCGGGGCGAGCCTCGGGATGGAAATCCCGAGGAGAGGCAGGCAGAGCGGTGGGGTCCTGAGCTATGGGACTGATGGAGAGAGACGGGGTTCAGGGATGGAGGTCCAGATGAGGGGATCCAGGGATGGGGGCTAAGGAGATGGGGAGTGGTGATGAAGACAGAGGAACTGGGGAGCGGAGGGGCCTGAGGACCTGGGTGGGGCACCCAAGGCGGGGCAGACGCTGCTTCCCCACTTCGCCGAGCTGGTCCAGCTCCCCGGGGGCTCATCGATCCTGGGCTGCGGAGATGGGGTCCAGAGAGATGGAGGTGCAGCAGTGGACAGAGAGATGGGACGCAGAGGTGGAGGACAAAGAGATGGGGGTTAAGTGAGGGGTAGGGGTTCAGAGAGATGAGGTTACAGATGTGAGGCTAGAGGGTTGGGGTCCAAGGAAATGAACATTGAGATATGGGGGTGCCGAGAGATGAGGATTCAGAGAGGAGGGATGAGAGAGGGATGGCGGTTAGTGGGATGCAGATCTGAGAGATGAGGGACAGACTTGGGGGTCAGAGTGATGGGAGCTCAGAGAGGTGGGGTCCAGAGATATGAACATTTAGACATGGGGGTTCAGAGGTGAAAATCCAGAAGTGAGGTATCAGAGAGATGGGGGTTAATGAGATGGGGGTCGGAGAAATGGGGTTTACACATGGGAAGTTTGGGATATGGGGGCTCAAGAATGGAGCGTCGGCTGATGCAGACTCTGGAAGTGCAGGGCTGTGCCCTCACCCATTTGAGGGTGGCGGTGGCCAGACAGAGGAACGAGGGAGTGGAGCCCTGAGGGTTTAGATGGGGCGCCCCAGGCAGGACTGGAGCTGAGAGTGCTGCTCCCCAACTTCCCAGCGCTAGGCCAGCTCCCGGGGATAGAAGGGAGGCGAGAAAGAAGCCTGAGACGGGTTGCCCAGGCCGTTGGGCCGGGCTCACGGGGAGGGCGTCACTTACCGCGATGACCTCTAGTCGCTGCCGGTAGAGGGAGCTCTCGGCCATGGGTCTGTGGGGAGAGAGCGGGGGCTTGGGAGGGGGTCTCCCGGGCCCCCCCTTCAGCAGGCTGACCTCTTGAATGACCCTCTCTAACCCCAGGTCCCTGAGCTGCTTGGAAAACAACTAGAGCCCAGCGTTTCTTCTCTTTCCCCCTTGCGCGGGGGACGGAGGCGTTGGGGCAAAGGAGAGGTAGGAGTCCTGCGAGGAGGCAGGAGCAGAGACCATGACAGGCTGAGCCAAAGCCCTTCCTCGGTCTGCCATCACCTCTCTGAGCCTCAGTTTCCTCATCTGTGAAATGGACCTGGATAGCGTGACCCTGACCTTGCAGAGAGAGGCCCTAACCAGGAAGCATCCATGCAGGGGAAAACGGAGAGCTCCAAAAACAGTGGCATAGTTTATTACTCATAATGCCTTTAATAATCCCCACAACCGATAATGCTTATCATGAATTATAATAACCATTTCCAGTCCATCCTACAGAGACTCTCGACCTCCAACATGCTGTGTCCCTTTCAGATTCCACAGCCTCTCTGGACTTTGGCTCCTACTCAGGATCCCTTGCAGGCGTCTTCAAACTACGGCCCGCGGGCCACATGCGGCCCGCAGAGGAGTCTGATCCGGCCCGCCAGGTTTTTTGGGCAGTGAGCGCAGCCGAGGTGTTACAGTAGGAATTAGTAGTTCATATAGTCCGGCCCTCCAGCTCTCTGAGGGACCGTGATCTGGCCCCACTTTAAAAAGTTTGAGGACGCCTGAAGGTCTGGGTTGGAGGTTGGAGGGTGGGGGGAAGGGGTCTGGGGAGAGAAGTGTCCATCTCACCACTGTGGACACTCACCATTGCCATGGTAACTCCAGAGCGGCCTTCTCCACCTGCCAACCCCCACCCCCAGGGGGCAAGGGTCACCGAGTCATGCTGCTGAGCCCTGGACTCTGAGCTGAAAGGAGGGGAGGGTGTGCGTGCTCTTTAAGGTTTAACCTGAGATACTGTCATCGTTGTCCTCCTTGCAGCATCCCAGGATCCCGATTCCCAGCAGCCCCCCCCCCCCGGGCCGCCCCTGGTCCCCTCTGGAACCTGGAAACTGACTGTGGTTCTGCAGGGCACTTAGGAGACACCCATCGCTGTACCAACCTATTGCCACGGGCATGCATGGAGCGCTAACTAGGTGCAGGTGCTTCGCAGGCCAGTCTCTGGAAAGATACACCTGCCTGTTGTTCTGGACACTTAGCCCAGGGCACACAGGGCAAGCCCTCCCACATTTATTCATGTGAGCGCTGACACTGTGGGGTGAGTGTGAGCCTTCTCGCCCAAACTCCGGCAGGGCCTTCCAGATCCTCTCTGGTCACGCCACGCGGCTATAATCTCAGCACGTATTTAGCGCTTACTATATATAGTGCTCTAAGTGCTCTGCGGGGCTTCCGATCGGCCACCACAGCCACCCGCCCCTCCCCCGCTCTGCCCTGATCTGGAGACTCGGTCGTTGACTCTTTGCTGAGTTGACATTCCAACTGAGAGTAAAATTGCTCAACCATGACCCGGTGCATCCCATGTGCCAGGGGCTGTGAAATGCTTTGCCCATATAGTTCATTGGATCCTCCCAAAGATCTCTCGGAGGTAAATGGATGGGGAAACTGAGGCTCTAAGACGTGGCAAAAAGACTTGCCCAAGGTCACTGAGGCGGGATTGGAACTGGAAGCTCTCAGGTCCCAAACACTAGGAGCCCCGGGGGAGAGAAGGGTCCAGGCACCCTGTCTTAACAGCCAGGTGGCCAGAGACAAGCCTGGGGGCGCGGATCTGTGACTTCAGTTGGGGCAGGGGGTGGAAGTCAGGGTTTGCAGGAAGGCCAGACCCTCACGGAATAGGTTTACCCCTGGGGACGGGGGCTGAAGTCCCCCCTCTGCTGTCCCACCCCCAAGATGCAATCGCTTGGCCTCTTCCTCGCTGGGGGGGATCGGGTTCCCGTTGCCGGGCAACCAGGTTTGTAGTTGGTGAATAATGCAATGGGGGACCCAAAAGAGTGAGGAAACCGAATTGGGGTCCCTGGGGTGGGGGGCCCCCCTGTTCCAGAATTTCGTGCAAACCTCTGGAGCCCCCTTCACCCTCCTCCTTCTAAAAGCCCTCCTCACACTGGCAATATTAAAATGCTGTGTGCATGCATCTGATACTGTTTATCGCTAACGCTGCAAGCGCGGCGTTCATCGCTGTGACCTGTTGCCACCAGGAACAGTGGGTGGCCATTTCATAAAGCAGGTGATCGTTTCCATTTTGCCATCATCTCTCCCCGGTTCGGAGTTATTAACTCTTTCTGCTGGATTTCAAACATCTACTCCCCCCATAGACACGCGGGGTGTTCCTAGAGGCAAAAGGGGGCAGCAGGAGCCCTGTCGTTCCCACCCCGCCCCCACCCCAGGCATAGCCCCACCCCCTGAAGCCTCCACAGAAAATCCCCCCAAAACAGGGGGGAGGGAGGCTCACTTCTCCCGCCCATCTCTCTGGGGAGGGGTCACGGAGAGCCTCTGAGGCTGGCTGCTGGCATCCCTCCACGCCCCCTGGTCTTCTCCGGAGAGGCCATCTGGGGCTCTCACCCCAATGGAAAGGTCAGCGTCCCCCACGAGCCCCCCCCAGGCCCTGCCCACCTGCCCGCCCTGACCCTGGGCACTTACATGGGTGTGGCCGGAGACCGCACCTGGCTCTGCAGGGCCATCTCTGCCCAGAAGCCCGCGTTCTGGCCTCAGATGTCCAAGATCGGGGCTCACTACCTGCTTGCCTGCCTGAAGGTGCCCTGGACGGAGGCTGTGACTGGGCTGGCAGGAGTGGGGGGGCGCCGGCCAGGCACCGGGAGAGCTAGTCCAGCTGGTTTGGGCTGGGAGGCGGGAGGTGCACGGGGTGAGGGGGGCTGGGGGCTGGCGGGCAGTTCTGGGGAGGTACTATCAGCTGTCCTGATAAATTATTTACCAGCTACTGGCCTCCTTGCCGCACCAGGCTGCCTCCCGGCAAATACGCTCTCACATGCCTGGTGGGGCATGTGGGCCGCGTGGGGAGTCTCAGAGCCTCCTTGGAGAATGGTGCCTCCACTTGGCATGCCCGACATCTCAACCCCAGTCTGCCCACTGTGGGTCCCTCCCATGTGCGCACCATTGCACACCATTCATGCTGGCTATTCTTGCACCCTGCTTACTCCCTCCCTTCTTGGACCCTGGCTCCGGGGTGGGGAGGGAGGGACTAATCCAGCTACAGGATTCTGAGCTCTCTGGGAATCAGAAGACCTGGGTGCTGGGTATCTATAGGCAACTCGCCTCAGGTTTCTAGGCCTCAGTTTCCCTTTTTTCGAAAAGTGAGAGTTAGATTAAGTGGCTTCCAGGGCACTGGACCCTTAGATGCTGTAACAGTTAGGGGTGGGTTCGTGATGAGGGATGTCCAGAGAAATTTCCACCCAAATCGTGAGGGTCTCTCTTTTGCACCCCCATGCCATTTTTAAAGGGCCAGCAGTCCCTTTCTGCTCTCCTGCCTGGTCTCCCAAGAATCTCCAGTGCCTTGGTCACACTGTGCAATTGAAAGACATGAACCTCGCCCTAACCGGTTTGGTTCAGTGATAGAGCATCGGCCTATGGACTGAAAGGTCCCAGGTTTGATTCCGGTCAAGGGCATGTACCTCGGTTGTGGGCACATCCCCACTAGGAGGTGTGCAGGAGGCAGCTGATCGATGTTTCTCTCTCATCGATGTTTCTAGCTTTCTCTCCCTCTCCCTCTCCCTTCCTCTCTGTAAAAAATCAATAAAATATGTTGGAAGAAAGAAAGAAAGAAAGAAAGAAAGAAAGAAAGAAAGAAAGAAAGGAAGGAAGGAAGGAAGGAAGGAAGGAAGGAAGGAAGGAAGGAAGGAAAGAAGGAAGGAAGGAAGGAACCTCAAGGACAAAGGTCCTTGCCTGACCTCCCTCTGTGAAGAGCACACTTCAACTAAGACCCTCCCGTGGAGCAAAGAGAAGGTGCCCTCCATCCTGCACCTCCCTCCTCTAGTTCTTATTGGGGTACTGGGACCTCCAAATTCCTTGTCCCAATGTTATTGTTCTTTTTAAAGAAGAAGGAAGGTTTTTAAAACAACAACAACAAAAAATTCTCTTATTGATTTCAGAGAGGAAGGGGGAGGGAGAGAGAGACAGAAACATCAATAATGAGAGGGAATCACCGATCGGCTGCCTCCTGCACATCCCCTAGTGGGGACTGAGCCCGCAACCCAGGCATGTGCCCTGATGAGTATCAAACCCATGACCTTCTGGTTCACAGGTAGATGCTCAACCACTGAGCCATATGGGCTTTTTGGTTTTTGGTGAGTTTTTTAATCCTGATCTGAATATTAAAATATATATATATATATATATATATATATATATATATATATATATATATATATATAATCTTTATTGATTTTAGAGAGGAAGAGAGAGAGAAACATCAATGATAAGAGAGAATCATTGATCTGCTGCCTCCTACACGCTCCCTATTGGGGATAGAGCCCACAACCTACGCATATGACCCTGACAGGAATCAAACCTGGGACTCTTCAGTCCGCAGGCCAATGCTCTATCCACTGAGCCAAAACAGCTAGAGTGAGGATATTCTTTTATTGATTTTTTATTGATTTTTAATATATTTTATTGATTTTTTAGAGAGGAAGGGAGAGAGTTAGAAACATTGACAAAAGAGAAACATCGATCAGCCGCCTCCTACACACCCCCACTGGGGATGTGCCCGCAACCAAGGCACATGTCTCTGACCAGAATCGAACCCAGGACCTCCCAGTCCGCAGGCAGATGCTCTATCCATTGAGCCAAACCTTTTTCAGCCTCTTATTGATTTTTTAGAGAGAGGAAAGGAGAGGAAGAGACATATTGATTGGTTGCCTCCCATATGCACCCCAACCGGGGATTGACCCCACACCCAGGTATGTTCCCTGACTGGGAATCAAATGCAAAACCTTTTTGGTGAATGGGACAACACTCCAACCAACCGAGCCACCCAGCCAGGGCTGCCCCAGTGGACTGGAGCTCACTGAGAAAGCTTTCAGTTTCCTGAGGCTGACCCGGCCGCCAGGGTGTGCCTCCCCTGCCACTTCTGGTACCCTGACCCCAGAAGTGGCCAAGAGCAGCTGTGGGGAGAAGGGTGAGGAAAGAGCTGGGACAGGTAGGACAGGGCCCAAGGCACTGCACAAGGTCCCTTGCTCTGCAGGGCAGAGTTGGAGGTGGGAAGCAAAAAGGGGCAGACTGAGCACTGGGGTTTCCCTGTACCCCTCATTCTAGTACAAAATTCCTAGGGACTCAAAATATCCACTAAACCTGGCCTTCTAGGTCATTCTAAAAGTGTGTTTGCCATGATATGAAGAGAGGACATATTTTTAAAATTGGTTTTTAGTTGTAAAATACACATAAAATTTCTCATTAGTGCCATTTAGTCCATTCACAATATTGTGCAGCTTTTACCACTATCTAAATTCCAGGACTTTAAATAAATAAATAAATAAATAAATAAATAAATAAATAAATTCCAGGACTTTTTCATCACCCCAAAAGGAAATCTGCCCAGGGCCTTCCCCCCCCCCCCCCCCCCACTTCGAGCAGTCACTTCCCATTCTCTCTCCCCCAGCCTCTGGCAACCACCAGTCTGCTTTCTGTCTCTATGGAAATTTTATATCAATGGAATCATATAACATGTGGCCTTTTGTGCCTGGCTTCTTTCACTCAGCCCAAGGTTGTAGTATAAGTAAGTGCTTTATTCATTTTTATGGCTGAATAATATTCCACTCTGTGGCCATCCATGTTTTATTTATTAGTTCAGTACTAATGAATATATGGGTTGTTCTCACCTTTCAGAGGAAAGAATATATTCCATTTAAGTGCTTGTAGTTTGTGGGTTTTTTAAATATTTTTATTGATTTCAGAAAGTAAGGGAAAAGGGAAGGAGAAAGATAGAAACATCAATGATGAGAAAGAATCATTGATTGGCTGCCAATCATTGATTGGCTACTGGGGATGGAGCCTACAACCCAGGTATGTGCCCTTGTCTGGAATCGAACCCGATACTCTTCAGTCTGAAGGCCAATGCTCTATTCACTGAGCCAAACCAGCTAGGGCTGTAGTTTGATTTTATAAATGTAACAACAACAATAATAATTATATAAATGGAGCCACTTTAAAATGGAGCCAGAGCTGTCACCCTAAAGGACCTGCCTTTCATGTCTTTCCCTCTCAAACCTTTAGAATGCTAAAACAGAGCAAATGTGCCCGGGCAAGGCCGCATACCTTGGTTGCGGGCACATCCCCAATAGGGGGTGTGCAGGAGGCAGCTGATCATTGTTTCTAACTCTCTATTCCTCTCCCTTCCTCTCTCTAAAAAAATTAATAAAATATATATTTTTAAAAAATTAAAATAAACAGAGCAAAAGCCCTAGTTGGTTTGGTTCAGCAGAGGGAGTGTTGCCTGTGGTCTGAAGGGTCCCAGGTTCGATCCCGGCCAAGGGCACACGCCTGGGTTGCCCGCTCTGTCCCCAGTAGGGGGCGAGCAGGAGGCAGCCAATCAATGATTCTTTCTCATCATTGGTGTTTTTATCTCTATCTCTCTCTTCCTCTCTGAAATCAATAAAAATATATTAAAAGGGGAGGGAAAAAACCCACAGGACAAAATAACCTTCGGACTGGGCCAACGCAACATTGCGCCCCAAAGAACTGTTTGCAAAGATAACAAGAAAGCAGATATATGACTTCTGAAAATTTAAAACACAGTTTAGAATTAGTATCACTATGTTAGCTCATGTGCACCAATAGAAAAACATTCCTTTTATTGCTAGAATTGTTCACCTTCCCTTTCTCATAAATATCCCTTGCCTTTGACTCCTAATCGGAACCCTGGTTGGGTTTCTGTCTGATTCAGGGCTTCCCAAATAGCTATTCTTTTGGATCTCAAATAAATGCTTGTTGCCTGTCACTTTGGCCTTTCTTTTCAGGTTAACAATGTGATAACTGTTAACATTTCGGATGTATAGTTTATAGGCTTTCCTTTGCACTCTTGTCCTGGATTCCACATTGAGGCAGGACTGTTTATTATTGTGTCTGGCTCTCAATTTCAAACTCAATAGCAATGTGCAAGTCTGATTTATTTCCTTATTCTCAACATTGAGGTAGGCCTAGTAACTATCATGCAATAATAATTCTTAAGCCCTTACTGGTTTGGCTCAGTGGATAGAGCGTCAGCCTGCAGACTGAAAGGTCCCGGGTTCGATTCTGGTCAAGGGCATGTACCTTGGTTGCGGGCACATCCCCAGTAGGAGGCGTGCAAGTAGCAGCTGATAGATGTTTCTCTCTCATCGATGTTTCGAACTCTCTATCCCTCTCCCTTCCCTCTATGTAAAAAAAAAATCAATAAAATATATATTAAAAATACTTTATAAAAAATAAAATAATAATTCTTAAGTATCTGCTGTGTGTTAAGCACTGTTCTAGGCATGGAGTGTTGGTATAGAGGTGAGCAAGACAGACCAAAAAGTAACACGGCTCGCCTTCTATTGGGGGAGATAGATAATGTACAATTAACAAATAAATAAAGGTGATTGCTGATGAATGCAATATAAAGGTGAGTTGCAGAAAACAACAGGGGTAGAGTGATGGAGAAGGGCTCTTTGTGATGTAGGCTAGATGACCAGGGACCACTTGTCTGAAGAAGTGACATCTGAGCCCAGACTTAAATAGCAAAAGCCAGCCAAGTAAGGAGTCATCCCAGGAAGAAGGAAAGACAGGTGAAAGGTCCTGAGGTGGGATACAGGAAGCACGGGGCTAGCACAAGTGAATGGTGGAGGGAGAGAGCGTTATGAGATCTGAGAAGTGGGCAGAGCCATTGGCCTGGGGTAGGGAGCTTGAATTTTTCTTCTAAGTTTGGTGGAGAGCCATTGGAGGAAGGGGAAGCGGCTGGGATGAGGGTGAGGTGGACAAATCCAGAATGTTTTGAAGGCAGAGCCAGCAGACCCAACAGCAATCCAATCCAGATGAATTGAAGGGGAAAGGGTGGCTGAGGGGAAGAGAGAAATTGAGGCCGAGACCTAGGTTTGGGGCATGGAAATCGGAATGGACAAGTTACCAAATACATAAGGAGGAGTGGAGCTGGAAGACACCAAGGGTTCCGTTTTGAAAGTGTCCGGTTTGACGTAGCTATTAGACTGGAAACTGTTGTCTGTAAGTCCCAAACCCTGGGGAAACGTCAAAGCTGGAGTTGTAAGTTTGGGATACGAGAGCAGAGAGATGGTGTTTAAAGCATGAGCCTGGGATTTGTGAGGGTCCTAGTGCCAGCAGGAAAGAGATTGTGCGCCCTAACTGAGTAATGGGTGAGAAATTAATAGAGTCGGTTTACAGAGGTGTAGGGGGACAATCAAAGCATTGTTCACACTCTGGGTTAGAAGCCAGGAGCTCAGACCACGCCTTGTCCTTAGGGAGAGGAAGAAAGGAGAGAGAGAGAGAGAGAGAGAGAGAGAGAGAGAGAGAGAGAGAGCGCGCGCGAGCGCTATCAAGCTGTGCAGAGCTGCTACCTGCAGTGGCAGGACACAGCCAACTTTGTCCATCCGAGGGCACCTGGGATTAACATGCTGACCTCACTCTCCTCTCCCCATGAGCCAGCCCCAGTGAAAGCCAGAGGGAAAGAAGCCTGTGGCTATAGGTGAACAGAAGTCTGAAATGGGGTGCTCTGCAAGAGGGGGTAGGAGGACAAGCAGGAGAGGTGGTATTCCTGGAGATCAAGGAGCTAGAGCGGAAGTCAGAGGGGAGCCGGTGGCTGGGTCTGACAGACGAATGTCATCAGTGCCCTTGGACGGAGAAAGCTCCGGGGGATGCGGGACCAAGAGCAGAATGAGCACGGCTGGAGGAGGGCCGGGGGCGGTAAAACGGAGAGGCCACTGTACAGACAACTCCTCCCAGAAGCACGGCTTTAATCCTCATCACCTCTTGAGAAAGCTGAGCCTCGGAGGAAGGAGGCTGGTACCTTTCTCGGGTTCTCGGTGGGATGGAATGCAGGTGAGCCCAATTCCAATTAGGCCGATGGGGTTGCACATGTGTCAAACACAAGGCCCGCGGGCCAAATCCGTCCCGCCAGGCCTTGCAATGTGGCTCGCACCGCGCTGTCATCACTGCACCCCGCTGCGTTTCCATCACAATGACAGTTTATGACTGTTCAGTAAACCATTCGGCCCGCGATTTAGGCTGGATTTTAGATTTTGGCCCCTTCTCTGATTGAGTTCGACACCCCTAGGTTAGAGGGAAGGAGGAGGTCAGTTGGTCAGAGGGAGGAAAGCAGTAGTTTGAGATTGCAACCCAGGAGGGAGCTGAATGACAGAGTGGAAAGAGAGAGTAGTAGCCAAGGAAGGCAGAGTTGGGGGAAGGAAGGGTCAGAGTTGGACAGATTATTGGGGGTTTCTGAGGCTGAGTGGCCCCACCACGTTCTCTAGGTCATTAGAGCTTTCTTCCTGGTCACCCTAGAATGGTCAGGGCAGGGGGGCGGATTTGGAGAGAACCTGGGGAAAAGAATCGTCAGTGTCCCTGGGCGTTGATCTCCCAGGGGGAGGGCCAGGATCTGGCCCTGGCTTCAGGGAGCTGCTGCCTCCTGCAAGCCTGGCTTCCTCTCTGGGCCTTCCCAGCCGCCTGAGCCCAAGAGAACTAACTGCCTTTCAAACGCAGTCACTCTGCTGAATCCTGGGCGCCCCGGCCTGTCCCTCCTTCTCCCCTCCGCCTGGGAATGAATTGGCCAAGGGTATACTTTGGGGTCTTCTCCGGGAGAAGGTGAAGGAAAGAAGCATCTGAGCTTGGCCACCGCTGGGAGCCTAGCTGGGCCCAAGAGCTCTCGCCCATGCTCCTGGCGCCCCCTCCAGCCTGCGCTGGGCGCCGCAGGGAGGGACGTGACGGACAGCCCAGAGGCCAGGGGCGCCGCTGCTCTCCGGCACCGGCTGGGCGGGGGCGGGCAAGGCCCCAGAGAGATGTCTTCCGGGGATACCCATACCAGAGGGCCGGCGGCTCCGAGGCCCAGCTCGGTGGATGGCTGGGGCCACGCCTCCAGGGCACACGGGGATGAAAAAGTGCCAGGGTGGCGCCCTGTGTGTGACACGGCACCCACACTGCCCCCTCCCCCAGGCGGTGGACCGGGTCTAGGGAAGTCCAGCGCCCTGAGCTGACCCGAAACGCGCCAGTGGACCAAGCCGGGTGCCCCGCCGAGGCGCGCTGGCCCCGAGGGCGGGGCCGGGGCGGGGCCGGAGCCCTCTGGGCAGGTGCAGGGGGAGGTGCCCGGCCTGCCCTGCCCCGAGGGGCCGTTCTGGGAGGCCAGAGGCCGGTCAGAGAAACGGCCGGTGCGGGCGACGCCCTGGAACCTACGGGCGGAGACTTCGGTCCCAGGTGCCGCGCAGGGCACTGGGTCCCAGGTGCGGGCATCCACACTCCGGCGCTGAAAACTCGGGCTTCTGGGCTGCTCTCAACTCTCAATTCCGACACCAAGGCTCCCAGGCCGGACGGAGAGTGGCGCCCTGGGGTCGCTGGAAGAGCCCCCTGGGATCCAACAGCGAAGTCCCTGGGCCGGGACAGGTCACCACAGTGCCCAGGCCAGGCGGCCAGGAGCCCGTGCCCTCTGCAGAGCAGGACGCCGAGACCCCCGAGCAAGCTAGCGAAGTCCTCCAGCCACCAGCGGGGCAGGGCGCGGAGCTCCGGGCCATGCCCACCGGGGCGCTGTGACTCTGGGGCCAGGCAGCGACGACTCAGAAGCGCCGCGGGTCCCGGGACCTATTCCTCCGGGTTCGACCGGGAAGCTCCGCGGCAGCGTTTTCCACTGCGCCCGGATCCTCCCCCTAACATCCCCCCAGAATAGCCGCTCATGGAGACGCCCATCGAGCGCGAAATCCGCCGCAGCTGCGAACGCGAGGAGAGCCTGCGCCGGAGCCGGGGCCTGAGCCCGGGCCGCGCGGGCCGCGAACTCGTGGAGCTGCGCCTGCGGCCGGTGCTCAACCTGCCGGGCCCGGGCCCCGCGCTCCCGCGGGCCGTGGAGCGCGCGCGGGCGGGCGCGCAGATGCAGCGCGACATCGAGCGGGAGGCTCACCGGCAGGCGGCGCTGGTGCGCCCCGCGCCCCCGGAGCCGCGCCCCCGGCCGCCGCCGCAGCCGCTGGGCGAGCTCATGCGCTTCTTCGAGGCCGCGGGCGGGGGCGGCTCCTCGCCCGCCGCGGAGGACGCCGCGGGCCCGCCGCGGCCGCGGGAGCCGCTCAGCCCGCCGCACTCGGCCGCGCAGGGCCGGTGCCCGGTGCTGGCGCGCGCGCCGCCGCCCCTCGCGCCGTCGCTGCTGGAGCAGGAGGTGCGGGAGGCGCAGGAGCGCGAGCGGGAGCTGCAGCGCCAGCGGCTCAGCGTCTACGGCGCCGCCGCCGAGGCCAGGGAGCCGGCGCCCAGCCTGATGGGTAAGCCACCCGCCCCGGGACTGGGGCTCCCCGGGGCTCCAAGGGCCCCTTTTCTGGCTCCGGGGCAGGGGGGGGGGGTTCCCCTGGTTCCCAGATACCTACCTGGGGCCCCCTCTCATCTTTCCGTTCCCCGTTCACCCCTTCTGGGCTGCCCACTCTGGGCTCCACTCCCTGCGTGGAGGGGTCATCCCAGGTACACCTCACCTAGGACCGCGGTGAGGGAAGGGAAGACTCAGATGTCTTCCTGGTTTTTTTTTTGTTTTTTTTTCCGGGGGGGCGGGGGGGAGGTGTCCCAGGAAATCCAGCCTGGGTTCTGCCACTCCGGGATCGTCCCTCCTCCCTCAGAATAGAGGCTTCCAGGGGACGGTGGTGTGTGTGTGTGTGTGTGTGTGTGTGTGTGTGTGTGAACACCTGTGTGTGTTTAAGGGGTGCGGCCTGCCTCCTTTGTCCCGGCCGCCTCCGGCCGGCGAGAGGAGGAGCGACCCCGGCTGAGCGCCCCTTTCCCCGCAGCGATCAGGGGCGATGGAAAACTGGCGGTGACCTGGCCCCCCCGCAGAAAGGCCTCAGAGAACGGCCTGGAACAGGTAGGTTCCCCTTTATCACTCTCCCCCCCAAAAAAACCCTCTTTCCCCCCACCATACGCCCCCCCCCCCCCCCCCGTCCCCCGCGGCGGCACCAGGACGCTGGGCCCAAGAAAGCGCATCTCCGCGCCCCCCTCCCCTGGGAAGTCCCTCCGGGCTGGGACCCAAAGCTCCCGGAGCGGCTCCGGGCCGATGAGGAGGTGGTCCAGGGCCCAAACCGCCCCACCCTACTCCTGGGTGTGCTGACTGGCCCTTCTTCCCAGGAGGAGCGGAAGCCTTGAGGTTAGCGCAGGCTGGGATCCCCGGCCCAAAGTAACATGCCCGTCCGAGGACCCGGACCAGAGGAGCCCACAGTGCCCTCCGGGTCAGCAGGAGTCCTGAAGGACCAGCCCAGGTCTGAAGTCTGCGCCAGGGAAGATGCCATCTACCAGCCCCTCCTTGAACTTCATGTTGTGAAATTGATTCGTTCCTGCTGCAAAACTGCAATTTTTCCATTGACAAATACCACTACAGCAACCTCACCAATGAAGCTGTCCGGCCCTTCTCCACCTAACTGAAAACCGAGCTGGCCTCTCCCTCCGGCCACGGCTGGGGTCAACCACCGCCTCAGCTTCCCCATGCCCCAATAAAGTCCCTTCTTTCTGGGTAGAGCAGGCCATTTTATTCTGGGTCCCCTTGGTCTGGGAGCGTGGCGAGCGGGGCAGAAAGCAGCAGGAGGCGCGGTTCCTGGGCTGCTGGTCTCCCACGGCCCGGCCCGGGTCCTTGTGCCCCCTGGCGGCGCGGGCGCAGACTGCGGCATTCGGATCCATGACCTCACGCCCTCCTTTCCAGACTTCGTCAACATTTGTTGGTGCCAGCAGCATGCTCCGTGCTAGAAAAAAATGATAAGAGGTTGTTCCTGCCCTTGGGATGTAAACAATAACCACACAAGAAGAAGAAAAAAGAAAAAAAATGAGGGTACTATCTCCTGAGCAGGGCACACAAGACTAGTGATCGCAAACCTCACATGCCTGTGGCCCCAGGCAAATGTTGAGAGAGGTGAGGGGTGCTGGAAAACAAAATGCCTAGGTTCAAAGGGCTGGTACATAAGTGTTCCTCCAACACACCAGCCCTACCAATGAGTGGGTTAAGTGGTGCCAGAGCTTCTGCTTCTCAAAAGCAAGGGAAACCGGGGCTTTAAAAGAGAATCTACTAAACTTTAAATAATTGTGACTATTTAGAAAACTCTTAAAATAGGATGTGTGTGTGTGTGTGTGTGTGTGTGTGCGCGCGCGTGCGCAGACAGCAAGCAACACTTGTCTGCAGAAGGGCTTGTGGTTCATTCTCTCTGTTCCCCTTAAATGGACTTGAAATTCTGTGAACACCCCAAGTCTCTGCAGTTACATTCTGTGGTTTTAGAGTACGGCTTTTTAGGGTGCAGTGAGACTCAGAGACGCTTGAGACCAGAGGAACATTTTTATTTATTTATTTTTTAAATATATTTTATTGCTTTTGTACAGAGAGGAGGAGAGAGGGATAGAGAGTTAGAAACATCAATGAGAGAGAGTCATCGATCAGCTGCCTCTTGCACACCCCCTACTGGGGATATGCCCGCAACCAAGGTACATGCCCTTGACCGGAATCGAACCTGGGACCTTTCAGTCCCCAAGCTGACGCTCTATCCACTGAGCCAAACCGGTTTCAGCCTGGGGGAAATTTTTAGAATAATTGTTTAAACTCTTGGATTTGTCCATCTCTGTACACCCTGAGTCCAGCAACAGGCTGGGACCTTCATAGAGACAACAAATGGTTAATGAAGGAAGAGGAGAATGCTTGCTCATACAGAATTGCGTGCCATCAGCAGCTCAGCCCACCACCTGACCCCATCATCAGCACACTGACCTCGTACCTGACCTTGTACCTGACAGTGACTTGGAGGTCGAGAGAGAAAGGCAGAGAGATCACTGCCGAGGTGGAAATGGAAACACCCAGAGCCAGTTCATTCCCAGAAGGGCAACTAAGAACTAAGCATGTAAAGAGTTGACTTAAGGGTGGTTGAAGTATGGACCTTGTTTCTTAAACATCCCTACAAGTTAAAATCACGAGAGGCCAGAGGCACCCTTATGCCAAGCAAATCAGACTCTGAGGGAGGCCTCTGCATCAGTAAAGCTCTCCAGGAGCTTCCAACATGGAGCCAAGTTTGAGAGCCATGATGTAGATCTAGGCCAGAAGTTCTCAAAGTAGGCTGGCACTGCTTGAGAACTTGTTAAAAATACACATGCTTGGGCTCCATCCCAAACTGGATCAAAACTTCCATGTAGCCAAAACCGGTTTGGCTCAGTGGTAGAACGTCGGTCTGCAGACTGAAAGGTCCCAGGTTCGATTCCAGTCAAGGGCATGTACATTGGTTGCGGGCACATCCCCGGTAGGGGGTGTGCAAGAGGCAGCTGGTCAATGTTTCTCTCTCATCGACGTTTCTAGCTCTATCCCTCTCTCCTCCTCTCTGTAAAAAATCAATAAAATATATATTTTTTAAAAACCTTCCATGTAGCCCTAACCAGTTTGGCTCAGTGGATAGAGCATTGGTCTGAGGACTGAAGTGTCCCAGGTTCGATTTCGGTCAAGGGCATGTACCTTGGTTTCGGGCACATCCTCAGTAGGGGGTGTGCAGGAAGCGGCTAATAGATGTTTCTAACTCTCTATCCCTCTCCCTTCCTCTCTGTAAAAAAAAAAAATCAAAATATATATAATTTAAAAGCTTCCATGTTAATCTCAGGGATGCTAAAGTTGGAGAATCATGGGTGTAGACAGTTCTCCAGGAACAGGACCCAGGAAATCAAGCCTGTATCCTTCCTCTCCTGGTACTGCCATCACCCACTGGGAACCATTAGTCTTAAGTGGCCTTTGTACTTGCCTTTTGGGAGACAGTCTAAAGTTCCATGTGGCTAATCAGAATTGAGAGGTACTGTAAGTGTAAAATACCAGATTTCAAAGGCTTAGTACCAAAAAAGGGGGGATATCTTATTAATACTTTATTTTTTAAAATATTTTTTTTTAATTATTGATTTCAGAGAGGAAGGGGAGAGAGACTGACCCACAACCTTGATTCCTGGTATGTGTCCTGACCAGGAATCAAACAGTGACTTCCTGGTTCATAGGTTGAAACTGAAATACCAAGCCAAGCCGGCCAGGATCATTAATATTTTCTTATATTGATTATATGTTGAAATAATATTTTGGAGATATTGAGTTAATTAAAAATTTCACCAAAATTAGTCTGGCCTTTAAAAAAAATGTGGCTACTATAAAATTTGAAATCACACATGACTCACACTATATATTTCTATTGAACCAGGCTAGTCTATAGAGTTCGGCAGCTGGGAGAAATCTCACAGGAGCTTTTAGTATTAGGGAGCTTCAGAACCCCTTTGAATTCATTCGGACCTGGGCTGTGGATTAAAACATCCTTGATAAAGCTAGCCCAGGAGGATTAGAATGGACAGTAACCTGCTGGGGTATAACCACCAAGTTACCCACCCCCTATGTCCCAATAAAAGAAAATTCACACACACACAAATACAATTTTTAAAAAATCCTTGATACAATCAGAAATTGTCACCAAAAAAAGCCCCATTCCCCCCAAAACGAGGGTTTTGGTGTCCAATCCTGATTCACTTCACCCCTCCTGTCCGTTTGTGTCATCTGTGCAGTGGGGCTTATAAATACAATGTGCCAGGGACTATTAGGTAAGCGAGTGCCTTGCTCAAAGCATCAGAGCAGGACTTGAGGTCTCTCCTCTGAAAATGCGGGGGCGGAGGGGGCCCGAAGGCATTTTTTAAAGGGCGTGACCTGCAGCTGAGTGGCACACGGCCAGGAACGGCACCCCTCCCCTCGCCGGGGATCAGCTGCGATGACAAGAACCCAGCTCCGGTCCAGGCTCCGCTACTTGGCCCGCTGTAGCTTTGACCAGGTGAGTCCAACCGTCTCAGCCTGGGGTTCCCCTCCAGCCCAAGGTTGGGGGAGGCTTGGGAGATCCAAAAGTTGTAGTTCTTTGTGGCTCTCCCACCTCCCCTGCGCCCGGGACAGACCGCGGGGCACAGCTACCTACCCGGTCCGGGACCCCAAAGCTACAGGATCTCATCTTGGCTATTAGGAAACTAATTGAGAGCTCTTATCCTGGGGCACATCTGGAAAGAAGGTGTTTCACGTTTCAAAGAAATCACTTCCGGGTCAAAGTAGGCAAGTGGGCGTGACCCCGTGGGGGTCCCTTCTCATACTTACAATACATACCCGCACCCTCACCCCCCCCCCCCCCCGACCCCAACGGGCGTAGAGTTTCCCGGCGGCCCGAAAGTTGCGGTTTTTCTGGGTTCCGGTTGTTGACAAGCACCGCTACTTCCCTCTTTGCTGCACGTACGCCTCTGCGCATGCCCAGAGCTCGGGTCCGCCAGTCCGCGGAACACGGTTTTGTTACCAAAAAACTACATTTCCCAGAAGTCGGCGCGAGCAGGCGGGGCTTCACCGCCGGAGAGGAGGGGAGCGGCGCTCGAGTGGACTCTGAGTTTGTGACCTCTTTCTTTTATTTAAACACAAAAATGGTGTATCCGCACGCAGGATCGCGCGGCCGGGGCAGACCTGGTGCGGATGGACCAGCGCGGCCCGGCCCCTTAAAAGGTGAGGCCGAGCGGCCGCCCTTGGGGAACGAGTGAGCCCCTCCCTTTCCCTGCCCCTCTCCTGGAGTTCGGAACTGTCAAAGCTTCAGCTCCTGCCCGTCCCCAGGTTCAGGAGCCCGGTGTGTCCCACGCTGTGGGCCCGGCCGCGCTCGGGGGCCGGGCCGGGCCTGCCTGGCCGGTGAGGATTTGCACCAGCAGGTCGGTGGCTAGCATGTGAGATGGCTCCTCGAAGCCGATGGTCAGCAGCTGCTGGTAATCTCCGGACGGCTGCGGGCACAAAATCCTGGGGGCCCAGGACAGACAGGGCTGGACGTGAGCGCCCTCTGCTTTTCGAGAGCCTCTCCCCTTGGGTGAGAGGCTGGGACTGAAAGAGGCTTTGTCTCAGCTGGTGGGGGAAGTGGTTTCCTTGTGGATGAGAAACCTAGAGGGCACTAGTTCTGGGAGACTGAACTATGCATCCCCCATTTGACCAATCATCTAGCTGCTGTGTGCCCTTGGGCAGGTAACCCCTCTGGGCACCTGTTTCCTTCTTTGTAAAAATGGGCTGTAGTAGTATCGACCTAAATGGGTTTCACATAAAGCAGTTTTCAGAACATAATAAAATGCTATCATTATTACCAAGGGAAACAATGCTGGGGGAGGTAGAAGGTCGTTGGTGGGGTTCTGCCCCTCCCCGCAGCGCCCATGCCCACCTTGCCACGGCCCTAGCTCCTACCAGGAATAAAGGTCATCCTCAGCTGGTCCTAGGGGCACCCACCGGCCGATGGACCACAGCTTCTGAATCTGGGGACAAGAATTGGCCGGACTCTTGCCTGTGTCTTCCCAGGTATCTCGATAGCACAGGAAGTAGCTGGGAGGGGAAGAGGCAGCAGTTACGAGTGAGCAGTTTCCTAGCTTCTTCAGCGGAGGGCTTTAATTTTGGAGATGAGGTAGAAACTGGTCGGAAGTCGCCTTCCAGTTCTCAGATAGGGATGTGACATAATACTGAGGCCTTTTCTCTCTGCCAGACTACTTTTAAGATGAGGACTTTTATTTTGATTGGGGGATGAGTTTTTTTAAAAGGCACGGATGGCCTTTCAGAGGTCCTCGGTTTCCTGTTTGACTTTCCACACCTCAGTGGTGGTGGTTCAGAGGCCCATACTGTCATTCTCCGTAGAGGGGGTGGGGACTTTGGTTCTGGTAAGGGGACTCACTAATCCACATGGGAATCTCGCCCCCGGCTGCTGGGGTCCTGGGTAGTTTCCAGGTTCCAGCGCATCTTCTTGTAGAGGTAGCGGGGGAAGCGGCTGGTGGTGTAGGCCGCAGGGGCACAGTATCTGAAGATGGACACCTCGTGGGAAGGGCTGATGGAGAACTTCCCACAGAAGAAACAGGAGATGCTGGGAAGAGATGGGAGGAGAGTGGGGAAGGAGGTGGTGCCCCAGACCCTTCCTCCTACCAATCCCAGTCTCCCACCCCGTTACCTTAGGGGGTCTGTCTCTTCCAGTTCCACAAACCCAAAGGATGCATACATGAGCACCAGCTGTTCCAGGCGCAGGGTCAGCTGTTGGGAGATCTCCAACAGCTACATGGAGGAGGAGGCATCATGAGATTAGCTGGCCTGCCAGGAGCACCTGCCCCTCCCCCACCCCGCTCGAGGCCCGAGGGGTGAGGAAAGGGGTCCAGGGACCTGCCCCCACACACCCCCTTTCGAACCAGCTCCTGCAGGGCTCCGAAGATGGGAGGCACACTCCTTGCAGCGGCCTCCAGGTACAGGAAGTAGGGCTCACACATCTTTAAGAAGGTGGGCATGGCCTTTGCCAGCTGTTCCTTCTGAACGCGGTCCCTGCTGAAGGGAGAAGAAGGCCTTTGCTTAGAATCTCTTATCACCCCTCAGGTCCCCCATTCTACCCACCCACCCACCCACCCCCTCCACTTTATCCCTGGTCTGGACCTCCGGCACACCCTCCCCACCCCCACCTCCCACCCCCACTCCAGGTCCTTCTTCGTCAGAGCATCTTCCAGGACAACCCTACCTCACAGCTATTGGGAACACCTGGCAAGATGCTGACACCCGAGTCCCATGACTTATTTTTTTGCAGCCTCCCAGAATCAGTCCCTTTTTCCTTGGGCTGGAATCACCTTCTCCCTTTTGGTCTCAAACTGGTAGCCAGCAGGCCAAATCTGGCTCAGACGGGTTTTGTTTAGGCTGCCCAGGGTCCAACACCTAACCCTTCAGTTAAAAACCGAAAAAGAAGAAAAAAAAAAGTCCTAGAGATTTGGCAAACTGGTGCCCACTCTATAGCAGGTACTCCCTAACCCCAAATAGTACACAGCCCTCACCACGCTTCCCAATTAGATTCCTCATCAGCTAACTTCATTCATTGCCTCTAGCTCCTAATGCTTTTACGTTTGCAACTCTGGTGTGTTCCACCTGCCTATCCAGTCAGCTCTCCTCTCCGTGTCTCCTTCCGTGCGGGGACCCTGGGACTCTGTCCAGCACTACCTGTAGAGCAAGTAGCTTTGGAAGTCATCCGCCTTCTTGAGCAGGTAGCGGAGTTGTTCCGTGATGGGGCTAAACAAGGTGTCCAGGGGTAGGCGAGGAGGTGTGGGCCCCGGTCCCGGGGCCAAAGGCTCCGGCGAAGGCGTGGAAGGGGAGGCCTTGGGCAGTTGCCCCTGGGCATCCTCCGGTTCCACCTGGGCTGGGTCCCCAGGCCGGCCAGAGGACGCCGACCACGCGGGGCCTCCGCAGGGTAGAGCCTCAGATTCCAAATCATCCTGTGGCAGCGTTTCCCCAGCGCCGCCGGGGAGGATCGGCCCCACGAACCACTGCTCCGTAGCCATTGTGGGGCCGGAGGAAGGGATCTGGGACCTTTAAGTCTACAGCGCCCCGGTTGGCCACGGGTTCGACCCCGCCTGGGAGCCTCTGATTCGCCCCGGATGGATGAGAGCGCAGCACCGGCCACCCCACTCCTGCCTCGACCGCTCTGCGGGCGGCGGAGCACCGCGCGGAGCTCACCTCGTTTGAATTTCAACACGTAGGAGGGCGCGCCGCTGGGGTCCGCTGGGGCGCGCGCTCCGGCATCCCACCAACGGAGGTGGGGTGGGGGCGACCTGGGCCGGCACTGGGAAGATTCTGTCTTTGGGGTGCGGTCTGGAGGCCACCGCCTTTCTCTTGGAGGCAGTTTCCTAGTGTGTGTGTCTGTCTGTCTGTCTGTCTGCAGCGCATCCAAGCCCTGGGGCGCAGGGATATAAAGGAAGACACCTGCTCCCACCCACAGCGCCTCTGACTTCAGGTCTGAATCTATATTTTAAAAGCTAAGGGAGTGCCCAGCGGCCGGTGATTGAGCATGGATCTCTGAACCCCAAAAGGTCACCCATTCAGGGGACATGTCCGGGTTTCCAATGTGACCCCAGGAGGTGTGTGCAGGAGGCAGCAGATCCACGTTTCTACTATCCCTGTCCCTCTTCTCTCCAGAGTCAATAAAAGGGTAAAACAAAAACAAAACTAATGGGAGTTGTCCTGACTGGCTGCTTAATGGTTAGAGCCTGAGCCCTTGAAAGGGTCCAGGTTTGATTCCAAGTCAAGGGCTTGTACCTGTGTTGCAGGTTCCATCCAGCCCTGGTTGGGGCACTTGGGGGAGGCAACCAATCAAGTGTCTCTCACATCTACGTTTCTCACTCTCTTTCTGCCCCACCTCCCTCCTTTCCACTCTCAAAAAACAAAGAAAAAATCCACCTGTGAGGGTTAACATAATTAAACTGGTGCAGTTGAGAGAAACTGCATTAGAACTTAGAGGGACTATCTCATTCGATAACCCAACCCCTTGTTCCTTTTATGGAGAGAGAACCTTGTAGCTTGGAGGTCCTGCCACGGACCCTGAACGGACCCGCTTCCAATAGTTCTGTGTAGCTTGCAAGGCTGCCAGACGTATTCATACGAAGCCAAATGCTTTAATTATACTTAAACCCTGGGTAAAGTGCTCACAGGTGTTGGATCCCACCCTGTGTGACCTTGAGCAAGTGTCTTCACCTATCTGCAAAGTGATTTTACAAACTCTGCTTCATGGGGTTGCAGAGAGAACCATCAAGAAACTGAAGCTGCCGGCTGGGGTAGCTCAGTGCCTGAGCTTCAACCCATAAACCAGGTCATGGTTGGGTTCCCAGTCAGGGCACCTGCCTGAGTTACAACTGATCCTCAGCAGGAGGCATGCAAGAGGCAGCCAACAGGCGATTCTCATCATTGATGTTTCAATCTCTCCCTCTCCCTTCCTCTCTGAAATAAAAACCTATTTTTAAAAAATTCCCTAAAAAAACACAAGTCGACCGAAACCGGTTTGGCTCAGTGGATAGTGTCGGCCTGCGGACTGAGGGGTCCCGGGTTCGATTCTGGTCAAGGGCATGTGCCTTGGTTGCGGGCACATCCCTGGTGGGGGGTGTGCAGGAGGCAGCTGGTCAATGTTTCTCTCTCATCGATGTTTCTAGCTCTCTATCCCTCTCCTTTCCTCTCTGGAAAAAAAAAAAATCAATAAAATATATATATATTTTTTAAAAGTCGTGTTAACGGCTAGTCACTCAACAAACATTTAAGCACGTATTATTATAGCACCGTTCTGGGCATGGGGAGATGATAGAACTGAGCAAACATCCTTGTCCTTCTGGAGCGATCACTCTTATAGTCGCCACAAGGCAGCCCGTTCACTGCCCGTCGCCCTTTAAGAGCAATTCAGCGCTAACCCGGCTCTCCCAACACCTGCTTCCCCAACTCCATGGACAAAATGGGACTCCTGGCCTTTTTTTTTTTTTTTTTTTTCTCTTTTCTTTTCCTTTTTTTTTTAAAACTTTATTTAAAAAATCTTCGGTGCAATATTAAAAAGCAATACAGCCAGCTGGAGCGACGACCAACAGAAAGAGTAGGGAAGACCCAATGATCTCACCCTACCCAGGGGATGGAGGCTGAGGGTAGACCAAGGAGGGGCCTGGTTGGTGGGGGGGGGGGAGGGGAAGAGGGGGAAAGAAAGGCCACCCATCAAAATGAACAGGCAGAACAAATCATTATATAGGAGGAAACATCTGGCTGATCCATGGGGGATACGAAGCCCCCATTTCTTCTTTTTTTAAATGTCCTAGGTTGGGGGTGGCAGTGGGGGTGAGCAGGCCTGTCCCACCCCACACTCCTCCATCAGGAAGTCGGGGATGTGCTCGATGCCAGATGTGTGTGTTGGGGGGACACTGGGAAGAGGTGAGTAGGGAAGGGTGCTCCTCCCTGGAATCTGTTATGAGGGCTGAGAGTGTCCCTAGTCCAACCCTGGACTCCAGGGGGCTTGGGTAAGACGGGGCTAAGAAAGGGTCAGGGCAGGGGTGAGACCGGACATTCAGCCTAGGAGGCCATCAGGGTCATCATCCTCAAAGTGGCCTTGCTGGAGCACCTTGATGTGGTGCTCGTAGATCTTCAGGGCTGGGCCAAGGCGGATGGACAGGCCGGTTAGCACATCTGTCCGCTGCATGAGCAGGAGAGACTTGCCGTCTATTTCCTGGGCGGGACAGAGAGAGACAGAGCACAGGGTCAGAGCAGACCCCCACTGCCGCCCTGGGACAGAGGAGAGAAACGGAGGGTGGAGAACTCACCTGTTCTTGGAAAGCTGTGGCCTGTTCTGGGAAGCCAGCCTCGGTGAAATATTCCACCACGTCCATCACTGTCCATTCTACGGGGTCAGCTGGCTTCTCTTTGCGCCCAGAACTGCAACGGAAAAGGGGGAACCAGGGAACAGGGGTGTTACTCCGGTTGTTACACCCCCCTGGGCCACCACCCTCTTGTCTCAAACACCCCAACTTACGGACAGCCAAAGGGGGTTCCATCGGCCACAGGCAGGGCTGGTTTTCCTGGGGGCAAAGGCACGGGGGATGGGGAGTCTGGCCCAGTGGCAGCAGAGGCTGGAAAAGAAAAAGCATCGCCAGTGAGGTTGTCTTGGGGCTTAGTTCTTCCCCACAGGGCTCCCTCTCCCCCACCCAGAGGGATCCTTACCTGATCCCCCTTCCTTATTCATGGCTGCCATAGAGAACACCTGGCGGGTGCCACTGCCGGGCGCTGGTGCCCGCCCTTCATCCTGGCCCTGGTGAGGTCCGCAAGGTGTCCACTCCTTGACCCTCTCCTTGGCACTCTGAGGGCCCCTCTCACCATTAAGCTGGTGATGCTGGGCCCCTGCAGGACGGTCACCCTCGGGGACCTCGGAGCCCTCAGACACATTGTCTTCATCATCTTCATCTTCGTCATCCTCTTCCTCCTCTTCCTTCTCGAGCAGTCGCTCTTCTCCACCTCTCTGGTGCCAAGGGGAGAGGCGTGCAAAGTTAGCAGCTGTTCTGGCCACGGGCCCAGTCTCTGGGATCCAGGACTGAGCGGTGTACCTAACGGCCACTTTTAATATCCACACGGACTAACTTCTACACATCTGCTCCGTGCCAAGCTCCGTGCCCATAAAGCCCCCGGGAACCAAATCTCATTACACTCGCTCCACCCCAAGAGGTCGCTACTGCTGTTAAGTTTTACACCGGAGGAAACTGAGGCTCGGAAAGATGAAGCCCCTTACCAAGGCTGCTTGCTACACGCAGAATCTGACAGGGAAGCCGCACAAAGCCCGAACGGCCCGGTTCCTCCCGGGACTCGCACCCCCAACACCAAGTTCACCGGCACCTGCCCACCGCGCGGCGCCTTCCGTCCCCGGCGCGCTCACCTTGCTCCGCGACGCGCGGGCGCTGGCAGCCGTCGGCGCTCGTCCAGGCCTATCCCCGCGGGGCGGCGCGAGCGCTCCGAGGCGGGTGCGCTCCAGGCGGCCTCGCGCCGCCGCCTCCTCCTCCAGCAGCCCCTGCGCTCGGCCCCGGGTCAGGCGGCCGCCGGCTCCGCCGCTGCCCCCGAGGTAGCGCACGACTTCCCGCAGGCTCACGGGCCGCGCAGGGCCGCTGGCCCGCGCCGCGCCCCCCTCCGGCGGCTGCTGTGGCTGCGGCTGCGGCGGCGGCTGCTGCTGCTGCTGTGGCGGCGCCGGCGGCTGTGGCGGCGGCGGCAGTGGCGGCTCCCGGGCGGCGACGGCAGGAGGGGGGGCGCGCCGCGGGCCGGTCGGAGGCGCCACTGGCAGCGGAGCGGCGGGCGCGGGCGGCGGCGCGGCCAGGGGCGCGGCCCGCTGCGCGCGGGGGCCTGGCTGCGCGGGGCCGGACGAGGGGGGCGCTGTGGTGGCGGCGGCCGCGGCTGCCGCGCGGGGCGCCCGGGCTGGGGCGGCGGCAGCGACGGGCGCGGGCGGCGGCGGCGGGGCGGGCGTGGGCGGCGGCGCGGCGGCCGGGCCCCCGCGAGGGGCGCGCGGCGGGGCCGGCGGGGTGGCTCCGCGCCGGGGCGGCTGGACGCGCGCCGCGTTGCGGTACGAAATGCTCCCCTTGTAGCTGACCCGGAGGACGGCGCGCTGCTGGATCAGTTTCTCGAGCTCGGCGCGCGTGCGCTCCGGCTCCGGGCCGTGCCGCCGCCGCACCATCCGGCAGATGCGCTCCAGGTCCGGCCGCGCCTTGCGCGAGCGCAGCGAGTCGATGGTGTCCAGGATCCACTCTTGGTAGTGCGGGGAGACAGCGGACGACGAGGTAGCAGCCGCTGTGGTGGCGGCCGCCGCCGTCTCCGGCGGGGGTAGGGCCGGGGGCCCCGCCATACCTCCCGCCCGGCCCGGCTGCACCGTGCGCGCTGCCTCCCTCCCAGCGCGGCGCCCCCCTCCCGGGCTCCCCTCCCTCCGCCGCTGCCCGCCTCCTCCTCCCCCCCCCCGGGGGGGCGCAGCGCCTCGGCGGAGCGGCGGCGGCGCTGCTGGTTCTTTGCAAAAAAAAAAAAAAAAAAAAAAAAAAGCGAGCGAGCGAGAGAGAGAAAGCGAGAGAGAGAGAGAGAGAAAACAGTGAGAGAGAAAGAAAAGAGAGAGAAAAAATATATGCACACACTCGCTCGCACGCACGCACACACACAGACCCGCTTCTGCTGGGCGCGCGCGGGGCCGGGGATGCGAGGGAGGAGGGGAGCGCAGCCGGCCCCTCCCCGCCGCCGCCGCCGCCGCCGCCGCCGCACGCGCGCCCTGCGCCCGGGACACTCCGGCCCCCCTTCCTTCCCCCCTCCCCCCCGCCGCCCGCCTTCCTCCCTCCCACCCCCACGCGCCCGCTTTTAAGGTGGAGCCCGGGCCCCCCGCCCGCCCCCTGTACCCTGCGCTCTGGCTCACTCCGACCCCCCCTTACAACTCCCGCGCGCTTTTTAAGGAGGCGCCGCGGAGTTGGCGCCGGGGCGGGGGCGGGGGAAGCGGCGGGCGGCGGGGGGGGAGGGGAGGGCCAGGGGGAGGGGAGAGGGGGCGGGCGGGGCGGACGGGCGGCGCTCGGCCGCCCTCCAGCCATTGGGCGCGGGACCCAGACGTCCCCGGCGCCCAGCCCCCATCTCCACGCCTCCGAGGCGCGCTCCGCTCTCGGGACCGCACTTACCGGGAACTCGCCGCTCGTCGGCCGGGCCGCCGCGCTCGCCGGGCGCGCAGGAACCTCCGCGCCGCCGCCGCTCCGGCGGCCCCAGGGCGCGCCTGGCCTCGCGCAGAGAAGGCGGGGAGGGGGGGCGCGCTCCGCCACCCCCACCCTTGGCCGCCCCCAACCAGGCCCCCGCGACTCTTCCCCACTCCAGAGCTCGGCTTCCCAGCCTGCTGGCCCCAGAGTCTCCTTGGAACTCCCTCTCGGCCCCGGACTGTATGCCGAGGGGGCGCGACGCAGACTTGGGGAACCCCGAATTCAGGGTGATAGCGCAACTTGCCACCCCCTTTTCCTGCGGGGCCTGGGGGCGAGTGGCGGAAGTCAGCTAAACCCAGTTTTACCGGGACTCCAGGCCAGGTCCTCACCAGCCTGGACCCTAGGGTGCAAAATCGCCTTCCCATCCTCCCGGGGTGTGTGTGTGTGTGTGTATGGGGTGGGAGGGGGCGGTTGACCAAATTCGGGAATACCAGGGACACTTTTTTTTAAACAAAACTTTATTGGTAATAGTTTTCAAATATGTTTACAACAGCACACTGTTCAAGAGGAAGTCTCATCCTTCCCAGCACACAGATTGCATCACCCCTGCGCCCACCCGTGGCCCCATCCCAAGCCTGAGAGCTCCTCCTGGGATGGGGAGAAGTTCTGAGAGAGAGGGGCAGATTTGAGGTTGAATAGGGGCTCCCAACTTTTCTATTAAGAGAGAAAAAAAGCACAAATGGGGTAGGAGGCGGTAGCTGACAGCTAAGCAGAGGAGCGCCCAGGATTGGTGAGGGGAGGGCTGTTGGGTGAATAAAACAGAGCCCCTCCCTAGCAACTCTGGGCTTAACGGGGGTCCACAGAGGGGAAAGGGGGGGAGCTCGGCCTCCTTCTGCCAGGGTTGCCTTCCCAACTGAGCTGAGAAAAGGCTGGGCATTAAAATCTAGCTAAGAATAAAATTTAGGAGTTTGGGGGAGTGCTGTGGGGAGGAAAGACCCTGGGCTTGGGGCTCCCCCTCTATCTTTTGGGGGGACAACTCCTCTTTGGCAGGGAGAGGGGCAGCTGCTTTGTCTGGGTCCCAAAGCCCAAGGGTGAAGGAAGGTGTGTGGGGGCAGAAGGGGGGAGCTGTTTGGAGGTTTCCTAAAGGGGCTGAGACCTTCCCAGGCTTGGCAGGGTAGGAGGGAGTAGCAGCTAGGGGGAGAGGGTGGAACCCCCAGCCCTTTCCGTTACAAGTCCGTCTGCTTCCCAGCCTGGTTAAAATGGATTTGGGGGGGGGGGGGATGGGAGGCACTGGTGGAACTTAAATAAGTTTGCAAGTTGTCTTTTAAAAAATTCTAGCAAGTAGCCCACTGCACGTCACTAAAATCTCTCCTCCCCAGGCCAGATTGCTTTGCAGGGAAGGCTGGCCATCCTTTTATTCTCCCTTAGCAAGTTTGCTGGTGGTCTGGTGAGGGAGGCGGGGAGGGAAGGGGGTTGGAGTTAAGATTGGGCCCCTCTTTCCACACCCTGTCCCTGGACACACTAGTAAGACCTGGTCTGACTAGGCCTGAGATACTCGTTTAGAACAAGCCGAAGTGGGCTGGGGTGGAAGAAGGCAAAAAGCGTTAGGGAGGGCGGGAGGGTGAAGGGGAGGAGGGAGAGCAGCTGGTATTCCTGTCCCTCTGAATGTCGGCTTCCTGCTCCCCGACCCTGGAGGGTGGGGTGGGGGTGAAATTAGATGTAAGGAACTCTGGGGCCCTCTGGCTGTTCAATCCAACCCTCCCACCCACCCCCCACAAAAAAAAGAAAGAAAACCCTGGGGGGCACAGGCACACCCCTAAAAATCAGAAAACTCCTTTGCACACTTCTCATTGATGGAGACTCGGATTTCTTCCTCTTCGTAGTCATCAAAATTACTCGTGTCCCCAGGGCCTTTAAACTTTGGTATGAAGGGAGCTTCCACCTGGAAAGGGTCAAGAGTTACCCGACCTCAGCGGTCAGCATCATCCTCGTTAAGACAATAAACACGAAGGGCCTAACATTCGTGACTGGGACTCGGGCCAGAGCCTAGCATCCGGGTGTGAGCTCACCTTCACAAACGCAAGAATCTTAGTACAGTGGACCCTCAGTTTCTCCAAAGTCTCCCATCCAGAAGGAAAACTCGCTCCTCAACCTGACAACCCTTTCCTGCTGACACCTGTGTGATCAGTCACGCATCTCTCAGGTGACAAAGGAAAGAATGCGCGAATATGAGTCAGTTGACTGCTGTTAAAATCTCAGGATATTGTGCTGTGAATATTTTCGTGGGTTTTTTTTTTTTTTCCTTTTGTTGCTGCTTATAATGATTGTTAAATTTTCATCTTTTTATTGTACACTTCCTTTCTATTAAATTTTCATTTGTATTCCATGTCATTTTTATTCTTAAAAGTGTTTGTTTATAGGTTAAACAAAATAGATATGTAGTACTGTATGTAAAAAAGTTAAGCCGAAACCGGTTTGGTTCAGTGGATAGAGCGTCAGCCTGCGGACTGGAGGGTCCCAGGTTCGATTCCAGTCAAGGGCTTGTACCTTGTTTGGAGGCACATCCCCAGTAGGGGGTGGGCAAGAGGCAGCTGATCGATGATTCTCTCTCATCGATGTTTCTAACTCTCTATCCCTCTCTCTTCCTCTCTGTAAAAAAATCAATAAAATATATATTTTTTAAAAAGTTAAAACAAGGAATCATTTGGGGGTCTGGATGGATTAATTCAATTGACATTCTTTCTAATGGGAAAAAAATTATTCAGTTTTCGAACAGCATTCCAGAACGAATAAAGTTCGAGAACTGAGGTTCCACTGTATAGACAACTCACCAGTGGGGAAGTGACTTTCCAGACGGGGCTGTCTCTTGCTCAAGTTCAGCGTGGCCAAGTGGCCCTGTAATCCCATTTTAAGGCCCCCACTGCTCTACACTGCCCCAGCTAGAAGGACCTAGGGCCGTGGCCTATTTTCAAATTCTTCCTCCCTCTCCATCTCCATTGGCGGCCCTCCCTGGCTCTTGGCCTGCCCCCAAAGCCCTCCGCATACTCGGGGAGAGGGGGGACACCCACCTTCCTCTGGTAGATGGCAATCCAGTCAGTCGTGGCGAACCACTTGTGGTTCTTGATGTCATTGACCCCGTTCTTGAGGTTCCCAAAGCGCTTGGTAAGGTCCACCTGAAGGAGGTTCCGCAGCAGGTCCTTCAAATCAGAGCTGAAGTGGGATGGGAACCGCACCTGGGGTAGGAGTTGGGGGACACACACACACAGGGTGGGAAACCGGCCTGGAGCTTGGGGACCCCAAAATTCCGCATTCACCATCCAACGGTCCTTTGGGGCACTTGTGTGTCGGAATCCCCTTAAAACAGTTCATCAGGCCTGGTGGAGTTCCTGATTTCAGAAGGTCTGGGTTGGGGCACGGGAGTCGGCATTTCCAGCTAGTCCCCTGGTTATGCTGATGGTGCTGGAGAGGGGGCCACTTTAAGATCTGGTGCTCCACGTTACGTGTAATGATGGTCCCATGTTAGAGAAGAAGAAACAGGCCTGGAAGGGTTAAACAGCTTGCCCAAGGTCACACGGAAGAGAGGGACAGCTTGGTTCTATCTTGGGGCTGTCAGACTCCAGAACTTGCCATTTTAGCCATAATTTTCTAAGGCAGCTCTGCTTACGCCTTGGGACTTCAGAAATATCCACGTTTGAGAGAAACAATTGTTTTTCTGGCTCTTCCATTCTTTAAGGCTCAGTTCAAACCTTAGAGAAACTCAGCACCCACGGCCTCATATGCAACTATTCACTGGATTTATAGCCTCAAGATCAGATTTCCAGCACTGCTCTCCCTCTTACAGGCTGCGACCTTGGCCATGGCCTTTGACCTCTCTGGGCCTGTGCCTGCCTCTCCAGCACGGGGCAGATATCCCAGGGTTGCATGAGGGAGATAATGCTGCTGAGGGTGCGTGGGAACTGTGAAATGCTACAAAAAAGGGAGTTATGCTCTTCTCCTCTTCCCCCTCGGCACATTCTATGGCTGCTTCTTTGTTTCCCACTTCGGGCCTTTCTCTCGGCAATTTCCATTGTGCCCGGTGGCAGACACCTCATCTTTCCCTGTTTTGGGACCCCACTTTGCGGCGGGTGATTTCTCTCCACCTCCCTGAGAAGCAGCTGGCTGGCTCCTCCGTTCTCAGGTGGGTAAGGTGAGGCTCAGAGAGGGAAAGCCACTTGCCTGAGGTTTCAAAGCCAAGGGGTGGAAGAACTTGGACCTGGAGACGGGTCAGCCCACCTGG